ACACACACACACACACACACACACGTCACCGCAAACAGAAGGGCCTTGATAGGAAACACAGGGCTATTAAGATGGCGACTGGTTGCCAAGTCCCTCCAGATAAGCATCTCCAGGCCACAAAGGTGGGCACTCTCCTTCCCGTTTAATTTCTAAGGACAGAAACATCCCCGCAGACCCGTGGTGATACACCACGATGTTGCATTTCAAAGAAAAAGAAAAAAAACAGCCCAAACTGGATAATAAAGGGATATGCTAATGGTCGGCTGAGGCCATATAATGGTTTTAAAAGCCAATGGCGCGAGGGTGCTTAAGCAGAGTAGGAAACGACCTGTAATGACAGCCAATCGCTTTCACACGCGGGTCGCCGGACCCGAGCGGTTCCACCTCAGTTGAGGTCTATGCATGCGGGCGCAAACTGCCGTGTGCAGCTGCCAGACGCAAAACCGGCTCTCCTGAATAGCCCTGAACCCCCCCCCCCCACCACCGCCGCCGCCGCCACGGACTGGAGACGCACGCGAGGCACGTCCCTGGCTGCATTCCATGGGGGTGCGTGTTGCAAATCAAGGTCCGACCCCCAATGCACCCCACCCCAGGTTTTATAGCTCAACGCTCTTGTGCAATGCTGCTCTTCTGGGGAAAGACCGCAGAAAAGCAGCCACAAACTTGTACTTCACAATAAAGTAACTGGCTGCGTTTTGAAAATTTAAGCCAATGTTATATAGGTCTGTTCCTGTTCATCGAATGTAACTCTTCTAGATTTTCTTAAACAGAACCAGACCAACAAACTCCACTATACTGTTCATAGACAGCCTTGTGGTGCTAAGTTGTGAAGCAGGTACCAAAGGCAGCTAAGGTTTAATGAGGATGGGGAATGTCCCTCAGCCAATGAGCAGCTCATCCCTTTCAGTGTCCATCTCCACTGACCAATCCGGGCTGAGGGGCAGGAAGCAGAAGAACATAGCACATGATATATTTGTGAACCACAAACAAGTTCTATATGTTCAGTGGTTAATACAATAAAATCGTTTATTCACAAATGACTTCTCCATGCCATTTTACTTTAAAACTGTCTATACCCATAATTTTAAGATCTCTTAACTTACACAAGGAAAATATAAGATTCTGGACTTTAGTCCTGCACTCGTAGCTTGTCAGGGACCTGATTCGTTCTGCAGACATTACAGTTTACTCAAGTATTTCATGAGCAAACAATTTCTTCCTGTCATCTGCGCCGACTGCATTTCTCCGTGAGCGTATACTTAATGTCGACACGAGTTTACACTGATCCAGGACAGATGGCTGACTGGGGAGCAGTTTCACTGCATTAAGATTAAGGAGAATTCAAAAGCAAAAGCGCAATTAAATACAGTCCCCATAACCAAATTGCAGGATAATGGTTTTTATTGTGCAAACCACTGACTCTTAAATGAGAGTGCTTCATGTCACTCAAATGTATCTGCGGCAATCGTTTCAATGCTGATATTCACCCCTCCGCAAATTAAATCCGTTAAAGGCAACACAGGATTAAATTAATTAGTCAGAACAGCAAGGCTGCACTTAAAGCAGTTTCTCCTAAGCAAGCCCTTGTACAGATCTTAGTTTTTGTTTACATGAAACATAGCAAATTAATAGCAGTGTTTGCACAGAACACCATAAATTATGGTCCTTAAGGAATTTATAATGTCAAGGCCATTTCCTGAGCAAGACGATATTTAAGTGTACTGCAGAGGAACTGGATGCAGGCCATTTATATACGTATGTTTATGGTAAGAAACTGCATTTAGCAGGTCACTTTTGGGGATTTGTTCATTTCTCCCAGCTTGCATGTTTTTTTTAAACCCTGTTTTTTTTTCTCTTTCAAGGCACTGGGAGGTATGCAATTAGCAAAGCCCCCCCCCACCCCCCACCCAACAATTATTAAAAAAATTTTAGGGAGGGTCACTAAGGTCAGATTCCGTAACTTTGCAATCAAGTGTGGAAAATGAAAAATTACTGGGGAGGTTGTTTGAAAGTGAAAAGGTATTTTTTAAGATTTAAAATAGTCAAATAGTCTGGCTTTGTCAAGGCAGCAGTCATTAGGCGGCAGATTAAAACTAATGACAAACCGGTTTTACTATGACAAGACATGCAAGGCCCATGTCCAGCTTCAACCCCCCCCGCCCCCCATTTCCAAAGCGAGGACACCACCAACACTAACCAGAGCTGCAACACTGAATGCACAGTGATCGCCATTGGCTTTGAAGAACTATACAGGTTCAAACATCCTGTATTTCCTAATTAATTGCAAATAAAAGTTATCGCCAAACTGGAAACCTCTGCCTGCAATTCTATAACATTGCAAAACGAAATGTATATCGATTAAAGTATAAAACTCTAGGACCCTTTTGAATATAGTATATACACATAGTACTCCAAGTTAATGTTTCCATATGATAAACAACTGAAAAGAGACAGAGGTCTGTAATTTTGCAAGCAGTATTTATACCAAATCTCTGGATCTCCAATCACGTTATGTTATGGAGTTACTCCAGTGGATGAAGAAAAAAAAAGCTAAACAGAGATTTACTTTACCAGCCACTACTTGGCCTACAGTCGGGCACTCGAATGAATATATTATAGGTGAGCAGTGTCCGATTTGGCGCCCCCTTCTGTCCACTCATATGATTACATCTGTGTTCATTCAACACTAGGAAATGTGACCCATCCCAATGGGACCTTCTGAAAAAGAACATCCGTTCAGCCTAGGCCAGCCTTCCGCTCAAGCTATGCATGGTTTGCAAATGGACTTACTGCGGTTTCATAAACCAGAGCGCATAATTCCTGATTATTGGCTTGGTTAGCATTTCACAGATTGGTATTTGCAATATTTATACCTAAAAAATAAGGAGAAACAGCCTGTCGTTGCGTCAGCAGCGAATTATATGCAAAGCCAGAATTCTGACAGCAAACAAAAAGCAGTTTGTTTAGGAGGGCAGTAGTACGTTTCACCTCTCTTAGGCTTATTACATGACCATGCGTATACGCATCACCAAAGGTGTTTAAAAGTGGCTTGCATTACTGAGGGTGTTTAAAACAGATGAGGAACCACATAAAGTGTCACTTCACCGAGAGCCACTCAGGGCCTATTCAGCATAATCATACTACCCAGGCCTACGACGACTACATTTATAGCCAGCAGCTGCAGTGCCTATTCATACAGAGCCCAACACTGATTTCTGCACAGTAGCGGGGGATTGTAAAAGCGCCCCCCCCCCCTTCAATGGCTGGCTGACCCCATAGCTCTCCTTTCACCTTGCTCCTCCAAAACAGACATCTAGGAGGCAGATAAGTAGGAAGTAGATACTTGTTTCTGATAGCGATCGCCATCATAACAACCCACTAGGGGACGTGGGGGGGGGGGGGCTTCTCAAACCTCTCTCTAAATAAACGTGGGGGTTTCCCTTTCAAAAGCCCCCACCCCATACCTCCCCCCTCTACCCCCGCCACCCCTCTGTCGAGCAAATAAACACTGCTCCACCAGCCTGGGCGAGCTTCGGTCTGACCACAATGAGCCCAGTGACACCAAAATGTCCCATTAATCTTCATTTGTCCGCACATATTCCAGCATTCTCATGGTAATGGGCTCAATGGCCGATGAAGAGGGGGGCTCAGACTGAGCTGACAGTCCTCTTCATGGGGACGGGGACACGGACAGAGAGTAAGTGGGGCAGCTAGTAACACCGTCGCTCTGTTGGGGCAACTTGTGTTTCCCATCACGGCTAATGCGTTTGACATTCAAATCAGGGCCCGGCAGGAGGGCAGACTAATTTGATTTCTCAGCTGCCAGGGCCGCTTCCTGTGCCGGGGCCCCGGGTGGGATCCCTGGGGCCCGACACGTCTTCCCGGGGCAGTCGGCCCCGCCTAATGGGTCTCAGAGCGCCGTTGGCAGCGGAAATGACACTGGCCCGTGAGGCCTCCGCTGTCAAACCTCCGGGAGAGGCATGTTTTCATTGCCCCAGGTGGTGATAGTGCAGGGAGGGTCGTGGGCCATTTGCGGATTGACAGCTGGCGTCGGCCCGCGAGGTGGGGCTCCCAGCTAGTCCACGCGGCCTTTAGGCTGGCGGGGTGGCCCCCAGCAACACAGCCCCCGTGACCATGCCCAAAGGCTGCAAGCCCCTGACCTTCTGAAAGCGGAGGTCCACCTAACTGCTGCAAGAACAATTCCTATTTTGGGCTTCTCTCCTCATGACGCAACAAATCAGGAAGCAAAAGTGATGGAGGAGGATGATTAATAAGCTCCACATTCATATCTCTGTCGCTTGGCCCCCTCCCAAACACAGATTCTGCAATCCTTTTTCAAGAACTCTTTTGACAGAATGAGGGTGTTCTTTGATCACGGCGCAGGATGTTTCACTAGGAGATGTTGGATAAGCGGGGCAGGGATTAGATGGGGAGAGAGGAAGCTAGACCCTCTACCTTATCTATCATATCCGGACGATTGGTGGCTGCCAGGACCGTGACGTCTCGGAGCTGCTCGATTCCGTCCATCTCCGTCAGCAGCTGGGCCAGAACCCGGTCAGCCACGCCTCCGGAGGCCGCAGAGCTGCGGAGGAGACAGAACGACAAGACGTCAGGCTCTCTCGAATTGCCGGACGCATGCGGCGTCGTCCGCCTGCCAAATATTAGCACTTTCACGTTTCGTAGTTTTAAAAAATTTTGTTGGAAGTACCAAACCGTACACCACAACCCGCATACAGCATTATTTATTTCTAATCCTTCATGTGGCGCATGGTTAAAGTACGTTTAGGGTTCTCCGAAACTTCTCTTGGCCAAACTACAGAAGCAGCTTGATTTCCCCTTGCTACGTACTTTATGTACCCATTTTGCATGAAGTTAAAGCAAAGCCGCAAACTGTACAGCAAATGCACTGAGGGTAGGAAAACTCTTCATCAGAGCGAAATCTGAGCCTAATTAGCTACTGAGAGCACAACAAAGATGTTCTTAATCTAACATCCTTATTAAAACCGCGTGACCGGAACAAGTTGCAGAAAAACAGGGGGTCGCGTTGCCTGAACATGGCTCCTCCCTGCTCATGTTAAATCCTGAAACGGCCCATAATCCCTGTTTAGAGGTATCGGATTTGAAAGGAAATCACTCCCCTGGCCCCCACTGGCTACAACAGAAAAGAACACCCTAAAACCGCCAGTGGGCCGCAGATTCCCACCCCCAGCCCCCTGCTGTTTTTTGAGCTTGCTAATTACTCCCCTCAAAGCCGACCAGTCACTCTGGTTTGGGAGGGGCGAAGGCCAGCATGCTCCCCCTAAAGAGAATACACTTTTAGCCATATATTTTTAAGTAAACATGCTTATTGGCTACTTGGGCACTGCGGCTTAGGAATCTGTGCTCATGTAAAGATGGTTGCTGGTTTGAATCCCACAGCCGGCAGAATAATATCATCGACAGGGCCTTAAACCCAAAATCTGCCATGCTGGGGGCAAGATAAATGGCTGCCTCCAAGCTTTGCTCTCACCCATATAAACCCAACCAGATAACATGGGGCAGCCAATCAGATTCCCTCTGACAAACAGAGGTGGGTAGTACAAAGAGTCACAGTCACAGAGCACTCAACTGGTTGGTTGAAAGAAAATCTTGGTCTGGACTTTTACTCTCTGTACCAGAGTTACCCACCTCTGCCTGTCAGAGGGAATCCGATTGGCTGCCCCATGTTATCTGACAGACGAGTCACTGAGGTCTCCCACAAAAACACCAGCGACACATACCATAAAGTTTGAAGGTCTAACTGATGTCAGGAGCTCAACTCATCTAACAAACAGATGGGAGGAGTTAACTCCAGGCCGTGAAGAATCCCATGCATTATAAAGAAAAACCTCAAACAAATCCGCAGGAGAAGCAGACCGCTGTCATTTTATAGTTCATTAGAACCAACGCTCTGTCAATGATGATTTTCCTGTTTATTTTAGACATGTCTTAAGCAACTGATCACATTACAATTACCAAAAGTTTCCAGCATTCACAAATAATGTCATCATTTCTCACTGGTCTCCTGCAGACATAAGCCCGGTGGAGAACATGGACGGCTCAGTCATTTTAGATTTGACTTTGGTCCCCTAACACAGAAAACAGAGAATAAACACATACAGCACATCTGTAGATCCTGGGCCGTGTCCAATCGGGTTGAGGAGCAAGGCGGTGCTGATATCTGTTTTGTCTGCGTTCCCACACCATTCCATTTCTGCGGGGTTTACTGGGAGCCACGCTCCACGGTCCACTTCCCCATCTGCCCCCCGTC